TGCTATTCATCACCTTGAATATTTCTTGCTATTCCCGTCTGGCCTGCATGGTTTCTGTTGAGAAATCAGCTGACAATCATATGGATGTTCTTTTATACGTAACTACCTGCTGTTCTCTTGCTGCTTTTAATGTTCTCTCTTTGTCTTTTGCTCTTGGAATTTTAATTATGATGTATCTTGTTGTGGACCTCCTTGGATTTCTTTTGTTTGGGATTCTGCGGGCTTCCTGGACTTGTAAGTCTAATTCTTTCACCAGGTGGCGGAACTTTTCTGTCACAATTTCTTCCAGTATTCTTTCGGTATCTTGCTCTCTCTCTTCTTCTGGAATCCTTATAATTCTGATGTTGGTTCGCTTGAAATTGTACCAGAGGTTTCTTACACTATCTTCAACTTTCTGGATTCTCTTGTCTTCTCCCTTCTGCAGAGGAGTGTCCTCTGGCTCTTCGTGTTCTACATCTTTGTCTTGATTCTTGTGATCTTCCAGTTTGTTTTTAGGACTTTGTATAATATTTTTTATTTCAGACAATGTTTTCTTCATTTCTTGTTGATCCCTTATTATTTCTAGTTGCTCCCTTTTCATATCCTCATAGGTCTCATTTATTTTATCGGCCTTTTTTAGGATATTGTTGAATAACCTTATAACTGTAGTTTTGAACTCAATGTCCAATCTTTTCTTTTCCTCCATCTCCTTCTCTTGTCTGCATTTTAGTTGTTTCCCTGATTTGATGGAACAGCTTTGTGTTCTAGGTGTTCTGGTAGAGGCTAATTACCTGTGGTGGACAGTCTTGGTGTAGCCTTTTGTGGGCTGTGTGTGCAGTCTTGTTGTTAAGCCTTGCTTATTGTTGGTATCACTGGGAAGCGCTGATCTCCAAGCCAATTGGCTGTGAGGATCAACAGAGTCTCAGCTAGGAGGGCTTCTGTACTTCGCTTGTATAGGGCGGGGTCTCGCAGTGGCGCAGACAATCCCTGTCAGTCTCGCCTTAGAAAAGACTTGTTCTCCGAGAGTTTCGGAAGATTGGTTGCAGGCGCGCGCACCTCTTTGCTAAAAGCACAGACAAGCTTTGGGTTCCTGCCAGTCCCTCCTTAGTGAAAGCCAACCTCTGGGAGAGCTTCTGTGCTCAGCCAGAGATGGGGCGGAGTCTCGGGTTGGTGCAGACAAACTTTGTTTTCCCTTGGGCTCCTCCCCAAGTCCTGCAGTAATGGCCTCTGGCTTCACACACCTCCGAGAGATCTCTGCCCAGTTCCTGACAGTCTGGCCTCTCCCTGTCTGGGGCCGTCTATCAGAGCAATAGGCTGATTCTGTTTTCCTCTCTAACAAGAAAGCCAGCCAAGCGTTAGCTGTCTGCCCTCTCCGTGCTGGGAGTTAGCCAGTAGCAAACTCAGCCCGGCCCGCCCTCTTCACGCTGGGAGTAGCCAGCGCCTTTTCGTACACACAGTTCTCCATACCTTCACAGTTCCTGAGGTCCAGCGTGCCTTCTCTCTCCTTCCCAGATGGCAGAGCCTCCTCTCAGCTAGCCGTCTGGCACTTCAGGGCAATGCCTCCCCTGTTTTTTTCAGTTCTAAATTCAAATTTGTGTGGTAGGCTGCATTCGGGTGTCTACCCTATGCCACCATCTTGGTTTCTACACTGTCCTTGGCATTTTAATTTTTATGTGTCTTGGTGTGGTCTTCTTTGGATTCCTCGTTTGTGTTTCTGTGCGCTTTCTAAACTTTTAAGTCTATTTCTTTCACCAGGTAGGGAAAGTTTTCTCAATATTTGGAGGTTTTGGAGCTGTCTGACAAGTTTGCTAGGTTAAGCTGCAATAGGGAAGGCCATTCATATGCAAAAGCTACTGCCTGGATCTTGGGTGGGTTTGTAGATTGTGCAGGGCAGAGCCTCAGGGTGTCACTAGGCTAGGGCGTAGCAAACAGCAATGGCTGGCAGTGAGCCATCCCGCGCCTCCGACCAGGTCCCCGCATCTCATGCCCTAGCACAGCAAACAATTATTCCTCCATGCAGCTCTGCAAGCCAGCTACCTTTACTTTCCGACCCAACGGCAAACAGTCCAGCTTCTCCCCGTAGGAGTTTGGGTCTTGCGTATCTCCCCTTCGGGTTGAAGAAAGCAATGTCCATCGCCAGCCAGCATCTGCTGCCAGCCTGTATCACACCTGCTTACCTCAGTTTTTCAGCATTTGTGTACTGAATGCTCCCCTTTCTTTCCATTTGGTTGTAGAATTTCCACTCAGCCAGCTCTGGGTGATAGACCTTTTGTCTTCTAGTTGTAATTTTGAAAGTATTGTGCAAGGCAGCAGTTTAGGTGTTTACTTACGCCGCCATCTTGAGTCTTTGTGATATTTCTAATACAAAAATTTTGAGGGGAAAAAAATTCTCAGGCAAAGAGATGTGACTCCTGTACTCATAATCTTAGGGAAAAATGCTTTATAGCCATGGTAACAACCAAATGATGATGGTTCTGTAGACATGGAAACAAGTAAAAATTATCTAACAGATCAGGCACAACTCCTTTCAGTGAACATGCCTTTGAGAATCAACCAGTGACAGCCTTAGGCTTTAAATGTCAGTCATTTAGCAACAGAATCAATTGCTTCTAAGACTGACATTAACTGGCTGTCACCTATCTAATCAACCATAAAAGATGCTTCTCTGACTGGCACTGATCCACTCCTGTGAGTTGTAACCAACACACCAAAACAATTTCTTCCCCAAAATTCTATAAGAGATCAGAAGTTTGCATTATTCAAGGAAACTTGCCTCTGAATAAAAAAAAATTTTTTTTGAAGAATAAACAAATGAATGGAATACTATACTCAAGGATAACAAAAATTAACATCATTAAAATGTCCCTATTACCCAAAGTAATCTACAGATTCAATGCAAACAATCCCTACCAAAATACCAATGGAATATTTCACAGAACTAAAACAAATAATAAAAATATTTATATGAAACCAGAAAAGACCCTGAATAGCTACAGTAATTTGATAAAGAACAAAGTTGGAGGTGTTACACTACCTGATATCAAATTATACTACAAGGCCATAGTAATAATCAAAACAGCATGGAACTGGCATAAAAACAGACAGACATATAGACCAATGAACCAGAATAGAGTGCCCAGAAATATACCACTGCCATTATGATCAATCTCTGACAGAGAAGGCAAGAACATTCAATGGGCTAAAGACAGTCTATTAAAAAAAACATGGTGTTGTGGAAAATGAACTTATAGATAAGCACAAAAAAAATGAAACTAGACTTTCTTCTTATTCCATATACATAAATAAATTCAAAATGGATTAAAGAGTTAAATGCTTGAAATCATAAAACTCATAGTAAAAGACATAGGCAGAAAAATCTTAGACATTTCTCTTGGCAGTGTTTTTTCTGATATATCTTCTCATGCAAGAGAAACAAAAGAAAAAATAAACAAATAGGACTATATCACACTAAGAAGATTTTGCACAGCAGAAGAAACTATCAACAAAACAAAAAGACAACCTACTTGAATGGAGGAACATATTCACCAATGATATATCCAATCAGGGGTTAATATCCAAAATTCATAAAAAACTTGTACATCAAGAAAACAAGCAATCCAATAAAAAATGGGCAGAGAACCTGCATAGACACTTCGCTAAAGAGAATATGCAGATGGCCATTAGACACATGAAAAAATGCTCACCAATCATCAGCAGATAAATGCAAATTACAACCACAATGAGATATCACCTCACACCTGTCAGAACTGCTATAATCAATATCAATAAACAAGTATTGGTGAGAACGTATAGAAAACGGGACCCTTGTGCAATGGGAACTGTTGGTGGCAATGCAGAATGGTGCAGCCACTGTGGAATACAGTATAGAAGGCTCTCAAAAAATTAAATATCGAACTGCCTATGACTCAGCAATTTCACTTCTGGTTATATCATTCATATATATATATATACATATATATATATACACACACACACACACACACACACACACACACACACACCCCTAATATGCAAAGTGTCCTCTTGGGAGTTCGACCAACTGGGAGTTTGATTGCTCACTATGATGTGTGCTGATCAAAAATTCTAATAGAATAGGGGGCAGCACAGAATGAAGTAAGGCTCCAGCCGGCAGCTGGGAAAGGGAGGCCCCAGCTAGTAGCCAGCAGCCACTAGCGACTCTACCCATACACGAATTTTGTGTACTAAGCCTCTAGTTATATATAAAAACTACCCACACACCATAGGGATGGTCCAATTATGTTCATAAACTCACATTAAAAAAAAAAAAAATGCAGAAAGCATCAAGCACCTAGCAATGGATTTAGAAACTGAAAGGTCATGAAACATAAAGACGCTAAAGGGACTATGATGAGCTACAGGTGAGAGAAAGTTATGGGTAAGAAGTTATTACACAGTTGAGTAAAGATAGCACAAAACATGTATGAGGAAAACTAATAGGAGCAAACAGAGTGAGAACCTACAAAGAGAAGAAAAGATGAGAAGAGGAACTGGTTTTACATTAAAATGAGAAAGTATTATAAAGATCCAAGATCTCTTGCTTATCAGTTTCTAGAGAGCTCCTATAGTAACAGCTACCACTCTACCCTATACTTGTATGAACTAACCTGAGTGAGACTCTAACTCTTACAAGTAAAAAGACTTAACTATAAAAAAAAAAAAATTTCTATTATAAGGAAGTAACCGAACTCAAAAAAGTGGGGAGACCTGACAAAAGACGCAGAGCTAATGCTTTTTTGGTCAAGAAGAATGCAATAGACATTGAATATACTTTACTGCTTGATAAATATTTACTGACAAATATATTCATTAGTGTAGATCTTTCTTGTATGTTTTCTTCTTTTCTGCCCTTATAAGAAATTGAGACACTTTATGCTAATATATCACAGCACATTTTTAAGTGTTTATTAAAACAATTCTAACAAAACAAATTTTATCCACCAATAAACATAACACCATCAGCTCTAATAATAAATGAATACCTGTAAGAACTTTTAATTCAGCTTCATCACTGTACTTTGGTGGCCCACCACTTTCAACTATGCAGCGATAAAGTCCCCCATCTCCTTCAGTTGTGTTGCTGATAACCAATGTCCCACTTGGAAGTTTGAGGAATCTATCATCCAGAAGAAGAGGCTGCCTGTTCTGTTCCCATCTGACAAATGGAACCAAATCTGCATTAACTTCACAATTCAGAATTGCACTGTCCCCAGCATAAACTGAAGAATGTTCTGGTTGACTGGAAAATCTTGGAAGACCTGAAAATTAAAGAGAAAGAAGGAAAAAATGTAGTTAAACATTAATTTTCAATGTAGTGACGGGAACCAGCAGCAAGTCAACCCATGTGGCCACATATATGGTGGGACCAGGGTCAAGAAGGAGATTCATGAGTCAGGAAAATGGCTACATACAGGATTACAAATCAAACAAGTAAATGTAGTAGGGATACTTGTAGCCATATTCCTCACAGTCAGAAAAACACAGTACAAATATGGAAAAACAGAAGAGCTGAATAAATCCCATGATGTTAGACTAGGATAGAGGTATCAGTGTAAACTTATGGTTTTACATAATTACTAGAGGCCTGTTGAACAAAGATTTGTGCAATAGGCCTTCCTTCCCCTCACTGCCAGCACTGGTTTTCCTCTGGCACCGGGGACCGAGGCCTTTGCTCCAGCCACAGTGAAGAAGCCAAGACCCTCCAATCTTCAGTTTTCAGTCACCTTCAGTCTTCAGTCTTCACTCGGGCCTCAGTCTTTGCTCAGTGCCTGTGTATGCTAAATTAACCCACCACCTTTGTTGGGTTAATTTGCATACTAACTCCTGATTTGCTGGTGGGCATCGTGGAGGTGCAGCCAATTTGCATGTTTCTCTTTTATTAGTATAGATATACAACTATAGAAAGATGTATATATATATAGATGCAAATGTGTATATATGAAATAAATATATATATATATATATATATATATATATGCTTCATATACAATCATCTGTTCAGAGAGTCCAGAATCAATGTCACTCCAGAGGAAATGAGTATATATGGTGACTTAATCTTGATTCTAAATACCTGTAAGAACTATTAACAGTGCTCTTTGGAGAAACAGCTGATTATAGGGCTATTATAGAAAAGTACAAGATGAACCTGGGATGTCTTGTAACAGAAAAGAAGCAAGTACCCAAAGAATAATGTGGATAAATCCAAAGAATACAAAAGACAAACTAAAGGGAGTTTTTTCTGGCTAAATCTGGGATAATAAATTATAAATGAATGCAAAAATTAATAGGTAAAAGTTGGATGAGAAATAGGATATTTATAGGGTTATCAAATTATCTCTTCCCAAAATTAATAAAAGTATGAAATATTTTATCAATTTTATAGTGAGAAACATAGCATAGACCACCTTAACTAATAAAGATTAACATAACCAATAATACAACAAAACATCACATGCTTCCTGATTAGATGCACTAAGAAGAACGGAGCATTATTGTTCTATTTGAAATATGGTAGCAATCATTTTTGGGTAAAAACTACTGTTTGAATTTTAAACCTATTATTCTGACTTCGACCTTCACTTACTTGCTTTGTTCATCGCACAATGGGCTTAGGGAAGATGAGTTCAAGTTCTGGGTAAGGTTACAGGCAGAACTTTCTTTTTCATTAAAGAGCCAGCCCTATGTACAATTAGTGGTTATCTCGATGCTGGCCTCGAATACAATGCTGTTCTATCTAATTAAAAAAAAAATGCACCTGGCATGGTATTGAAACTGTGGGTATATCTCTGGGTATATCTGGTCTCTGGCCTGCAATATCAGACAGCTAAGTTTATCTTCATCATTCTTCAAATGGGCTAAAGCAAACTAGGAAGAACAGCAGAAAATTCCAAACAACAGTTTGTTGTAGAATGGAGGTTTTCCTTCTCAGAACCTTCAAAAATAACTAAATGCCCCTAAAGCCTCACAGTCCTGTAGGGTCCACCTGCGTGTCATACTCTTGCGGCTGCCCTGGCCAGTTCAATAAATTCTTGTTTGCTTTTTTAATAAATTATCAGCCTCCAGTGGTCTTATTTTCAACCCAGGGTTCGACCCCACAACACTATTCATCAAAAAAAAAAAAAAGAAAAAAAGAAAAGACAAAACCCGAATTTATTCATAGGGAAGAATGAGAAAACCCCAAATAAGACAAAGAAAAAGAGTAATTTGACATGAAAAGCAAAAAAACAACTACTAAGTAAGACATGTAATCCAGGATGAGAAAGTAAGGCGGGGGGCGGGGAGAAGGTTAAAAGTTTCTACTTTTGTTTTACTTCTTGCTAATAAGACCAATGATACTGAAGCTTAAATTCCCAAAATTGATGTATGTTTTTTTTTTTTTTACAATATCCTTTTTTTAGAAAACATACATGAATAGAGACAAAATGGCGTCCAAACAGATGGACCTGTTCTGAGCCTAGTCCCAGAGCAGATAGAAGGAACAACTCACTGAGTGTCGCTCGGGGACTGTTAGTTGGCAAGCTAAGGGGTAGCAGAACTCTAAGAGAAGGTAAAGGTCTGTTGGACAGGATTTCCTGACCAAGCAACCCGCACTGCTGCGGAGACCTCTCCTAGACCTATGGGATCAGAGGGAAAACTACTCCATCTTACAAAGAAAAGAGGAGCTAATCTGAGGCCTGAAAAACCCACAACAGTGGAGACCACCGAACAGCTGTAAAGCCCTAATTGGTGCAAACACATGGATTCAAGGGAGTTCATCAATCACCCACTGAAAGGTCAGAGTTTGCCAGGGATAACGTGAGGGATCTGGGTCCCCGCTGCAGAAGCTGCAGCAAGAATTGCGTGCTGTAAGACCCAGTGCTGGGTTTGGCGTAATCTTCCCAAAAATCAGGACTTTTTTTAAAACGCCAAGGGATGGGGGACAAATTGTAAAGAGTCAGGACTGTCATGCCAAAAGCGGAATATCTGGACACCTTGGCGAAGACCCATCCTGTGCCTGGTCCCATTCACCCACTAGCTTCTGAGTACTAGGGAACGACTGCTCAGTTTGGCATATTTTGGGAGACTGCAGGGGAAAATTGCCTTCCTGGAAATGCGTTCAGAGCAGGAAGAGACGATATGGGAACCAGCACCAAGGCAGCCTACCTCAACAAACCATAGAGAGTGCCATAGAGAAAGAAGGCTAGAGCAGCCAAAATGACGGAAAGTCAATCCAGAAACAATGCCACCTAGGGGCTGAATTACAAACTGACTTTCCCCCCCTTTTTTCCTTTCCTTTTTTTAAAAATTACTTTTAATTAATCAAAAATAAACGGACAAAAATAACTAGGAAATAGCCTACTTAAAATTAAGGACTATTTTACAAAAATTAGGTGCAGTGTAACGCAGGGAACTGCAATACTGATTGGAGCGAGAAACTGGCGTGCCAAATAGAATGACAGAGGAAGTGAATGAACACTACTGCACTTTTATGCTAATTTTTCTATTTTATATTTTATTTGCATTTTTTACATCTTTTACTTTATTTTCAATTTTTACATCTTTTACTTAAGAAACAATTTTTTTCCTCACTTGATTTTACCTTTTCAATTATTACATTTTTCAATTTCAATCATCATTACCTCTACCATTTTGCATTTTTTGTTTCCTTTTTTAAAGTAACATTTTATTTTCTCTTTATTTTACATTGAGATTAATCTTCATTCTATTTTCAACTCTACTATAGCATCGCTCAACTCTTTCCCCTTTTTGTCTCTTGTTTATCTTAACACTTTCGCGCTTTAGTTTTTAACAATTCTATCTGCATATCCCCTGCTAAAATTCTCACCCTACTTATATATCAATTTCCAACCCCCTGCTCCAAGTGCATAAACACCACTCTCCTCACTATAGTAACTATTTAAAAAAACACACAAAAAAAAACTTTTCCTCTCTGTCCTTTTGTTGTTGTTTATGTGAATGGTGATTATATTAAATTTTTATGCTTTTTAGTGAAATTGATATTCTTATTCTTTTGTTATTATTGCCTAGTATTTTTGAATTGCTTTGTTTTTCTTTCCTTTGTACTTCTGTTTATCCTAGCCTTGCTTGATATTAGTGGGTATTTTGGTTTGTATTAATCTCCAAGTATTGTTCCTAGCATTTGCTGGGATTAGTGGTTGTTCTATTGAAATTTTCTACACATATATACAGTTTGTTCCCCTTTACTTTCTTAGTCTTCTGCTCTCTTTCACACTCTCTCAAACTCTTTTTTTTCCTGTTTCCCAATTTCATTTCGACACTACTTTTTTTTTCCTTTTTTTTTCTTTTCTCTTTATTTATCCCTCGTCTATTTTTATTTTTTTTCTTCTTTTTCTCCTATCACCTAATTTGCCTTTCTCTAGAGGTCACCTTTGTTAGAGGATATTAATATCGGAAATACATTCCTATTCAGTGCCTTTTGTGTTGTATCTGGTAGTGTTGTATTTTGTACCTTTAAATCAACACAGGAGAGGATTACATAACCAGACATCCTGAAAAGAGAGACCATGGGGAGACAAAAAAAATAGCCCGCACATGAAAGACAATCAGGCATCACCAAAAAAGGAAGTAAACGAGTTAGAGGCAAGCAACCTACCAGAGCAAGAATTCAGAGTAATGATCATAAGATGGCTAAAAAGAATGGAAGACAAATTTGACAATATGAGTAACCAAGAGGAAATGAAGAATAACCAAGAAGAAATGAAGATGAACCGAGAATAAATGAAAAATGACATTGTACTATGAAGAACTCAATAGAAAGCATCAAGAGTAGACTAGAAGAAGAAGAGGACTGCATCAGTAAGATAGAAAACAAGATGGAAAAAAAATACCCAATGAGAGCAGCTTCTAGAAAAAAAATAAATAAAAAGCAGGAGGAGAGCCTATGAGAGCCTTACGACAATACAAAAAAAAAAAAAAAAAAAAAAAACAATATTAGAATGATAGGGATTCCAGAAAAAAAGGAAAATGAGGAAGACATAGAAAACAAATTTCAAGAAATAAAGACAGAAAACTTTACTGAGATAGAGAAGAAAAAACCCACACAAATACAACATGCTCGCAGAGTCCCAAGTAAAATGAATCCCAAAAGACTGACGCCAAAGCATATTATAAATTGGCAAACACCAACGACAAAGTAAGAATCTTAAAAGCAGCCAGAGACAAAAAGTTACATATAAAGGAACCCCCATCAGACTAGCAACTGATTTCTCAACAGAAACTCATCAGGCCAGAAGAGAAT